TTGAAGAGGGACTGAGCCATAGTCCAACTCCAAAACCAGCTCTACATATTTATAAAGAAGTGTTCAATAAAACACACACACACACACACATATATATATATATAATCAATACTTACAGAATGTATAGAATTTTATTGGTGATCCTTAGTGGGTCGTAACTAGTTTCCATCCATCAGTAATTAAATATTCAGGGTCCCTTAAATTCTTTGAAGATCAGTATTTTCCTGTGGAGATAAGAAAAGAACCCTGCCCCCAACCTATCTGTATTCCTTACCATCAGTATGCTCGCCATCCTTGTGAATGAATTGTTATTTAGCTTTTCCAAATGGCTTCTCTTCTTCATAGCGAACCTTTATTAATTTTGATGGTATCCACAATTTTTCCTCACCTGTGGAGATAAGAGCAAAACCCCTTCCCCAACGCGGGCGTGCGGGAACCCCGCGCCCAATTTATAAGTAAACCTTCACCTGAGGCAAGCCCGCCCCCTAAGAGGGGTGGCTTAACCCTACACCTGTGATGCTTGTGAGTTCTTCCAGGCAACTGACCTGTGATGATTTCTGTAATGTACGTAGCATTTTGTACTTACCCTCTCCCTTCATAGGCGTAATGAAGGAAAGATCTTTCTCATCTTTTAGAAAGGCTACAGCCTCCATCCCTCTCCCTATGATAATCTGTTAATAAGGACAAATCCTTTTAGAAAAATCAACATGAACTGTTTTCTATAGCATCAGGAGGTTCATCTCTTCCCTATAATTTGTTCTTGGATGAGGACCCAAGGCTATCTTCCCTGCCACAGGTCCCAAAAACTTACAGGTGGGATTCAGATCCTAGCAGATGTTCCAGGTGGGGGAAGGTGGACCAGTTGCCCTCCTCCTGCCATCGATCCCACAGTGCTGTCTGTGTCTCCCGATGCTAGAGTGTCTTACAGCCCCACAGTTCACAGTTTTGTCTGTGTCTCCCGATGCTAGAGTGTCTTACAGCCCCACAGTTCACAGTTCTGTCTCTGTCTCCCGATGTTAGAGTGTCTTACAGCCCCACAGTTCACAGTTTTGTCTGTGTCTCCCGATGCTAGAGTGTCTTACAGCCCCACAGTTCACAGTTTTGTCTGTGTCTCCCGATGTTAGAGTGTCTTACAGCCCCACAGTTCACAGTTTTGTCTGTGTCTCCCGATGCTAGAGTGTCTTAGAGCCCCACAGTTCACAGTGCTGTCTCTGTCTCCCGATGCTAGAGTGTCTTACAGCCCCACAGTTCACAGTTCTGTTTCTTTGTCTCCTGATACTAGAGTGTCTTACAGGACTCATTCTTCATGTTTTGTTTCAACAGGAAAACGTGGAAGGCCCAGAATGCCAAGTGTGTCGCAAAGGATCATTCTACTTAAACCCTACCAGTCCAAAGGGTTGCACCACGTGCTTCTGTTTTGGAGTGACTACTGACTGTCAAAGCTCACACAAGCGAAGATCTAAGGTGTGTGAGGGATTAGTGTTTGGGTTCTTGGTCCGTATTCCTAACCTCGCTGCTCCTTGGTCTGCAGCACTGTCTCCGTAGATGCCATCGTGAGCATGTCTCAGATTATTCAGGTCTTTGATCAGATGTCACATGCTCAGAATGCTTTCCCCTACCTCTCCCTGGAAAATGATAATCCTGGTCAGTATCTGTATAGTTGCCCTTGACTTCTCCATAGCGCTTAACACTTTGTAACATATTATACCTTTAACTTTAAAAATTACTGTCTTTCCTTTCTCCATAAGGGAAAATGTGAACTCTTTAACATATACCAGGGCCTAGGACAGGATTTGGGACATAGAAGATGCCTAGAAAATACAATGAATAGAATTTGTTGTATTGTAAATGATATGACAGATATCCAGACAGACATCTGGATAGAGAAATCTACAGGGTGAGCGTCAGAAGGTTCACAAGCACACTAACTTTCTGTCTCCATGAAGTTCTGATATGCCACTCCCTTGAGCCCTCCCAGCACTGAGGAGCTCTCCAAAAATATCGTTCATTGTCTTCATAGAGCTCCCATTATGTAGATATGATTGATTAAGTCAATGGCTATTGGTTATTAACATAACTGGTAATTGACCTATGGGAAGGCTAGGGATGGGCTGAAAGTTCTGCCCTTCTACACATCTGCTGGTCTTTGTGGTCACCAGTTCCCACTCTGAGGGGACTCAAGGCATGGAGGGTGTATGTTTGTACATGCCTGGGTTTGTGTGGCTGTGTGGATGTGCTTGGACATGTGTTATGTGCAGGCCAGATGCTCATGTTGGATGGCTTCCCTTGTCATGGTTCGCCATGCATTCTGAGGTGGGCTCTTTCTGACACCAGAGCTTGCCAGTTCTGATGCTCCAGCCAGCCAGCTTGCTCTGGGACTGTCATGTCTGCCTCCTAAGGGTTGAGATTGCAGGTGAGCTGCCCTTCTGGCCCATCCTTTACATGGGTTCTGGGGATTCAAAGTCGGGACCTTGTGTGTGTGTGTGTGTGTGTGTGTGTGTGTGTGTGTGTGTGTGTGTGTGATGCATTTTAGTCTCTGCTATCCCTCCAGCCCTACAAAATGTTTTTATGGTGGTAATAACACAGTCTTCATTCTCTTTTTATATTCTTCCTTTTAAAATTTCTTTCTCAAATGTTTTACCATATGGAAGGGTGTGTGCCTATGAGTGTTGAAGCCAGAGGTCAATGTTAAGTGTCTTCTTCCATTGTTCTTCACTTCCACCTCTGAGGTAATCCCTAAGTGAACCTGGATCTTGCCTTGGCTAGACTGACTGGCATCCCCCTGCCTTCACTTCCCAAGCACTGAGATTGAATGTGTGTGCTGCCCCACCTAGCTTTTTCTGTGGCTTCTTAGAGATCAAACTCAGGTTCTCATGCTTGTGAGACAAGTACTTTCCCGCTGAGCTGTCTCCCTCTCTGTCTACTTCTGAAATTAACTTTATAAAACTAAGATTTTATCAACTTCATTAGTCCATGAGCCAGTAACATCATGCGTACTGTTTCTGTGTAATATTGCTTTACATATTTTACTGCTTGCTGAGTGGAATGTGGACTGGTTGGTGAAAGGAAACCTAGTTTGTAAGTCTACTCTGTAGTCTCCCCTTTTACCCTTCACAGCTTACTCCTAAGTGTTCCTTGTCAATTCTTTGTTTTTCCTCCCCTCTAAATGGAGCTGCCTTCCTCAGTGACAAAGAAAATATTTTACTTGGGCTATTGTATTCCAAAACACAATTAATTTTTTTAATATAATTTTTTATTGAAAAAAAATTTCCGCCTCCTCCCCGCCTCCCATTTCCCTCCCCATCTCCCTTTTCCCTTCCCCTCCTCCCTCTCCTCTCCCCCTCCCCCCACTCCAATCCCCCTCCCTCTCCAGTCTGAAGGGCAGTCAGAGTTCCCTGCCCTGTGGAAAGTCCAAAGTCCTCCCTGCTCCATCCTGGTCTAGGAAGGTG